AAAAAAGTTAGGGTAAGTTAGTACTAACAAAAAGTTAAACTAAGGTAAAACAAAGTTAGTAAATTACTAAAAATAGTTACTAAAGTTTTTTTTTTTTCTTAGTTGATAAATGAGACTGAAAGTATTTTGGTCATTATACATCTATACTTTGAATTGAATATCAGAACAGTGTTCAAATGATGTTCAAGATAATAATTCTAATGTATTTAACTTGCTTTTACTGTTTTGCAAAGCTCAATTCTGTACACACAGCTTAAGAATCTAGACTTCTAAACATCTTAGTACAATGGAGCAGTAAACTATATTGTTAGTATTATTCAAGTTTTATTTTGCCATAACTAAAATTATTTAGCATTTTACATGTGATTTATAAATAGCTCTGGACTCTTTACAAATGACTAAAAAACACACACACATATGCACTGTTGGTACTGACTGGTTTTGCTGCAGAACTTTTGTTCACCTGTTAGAAAACTTACACTTGTTGGCAACTTCCACAGTATACCTATTCCTGAACTCATTGTCAAAGTTAACTACCTTTTGTTAGATAGCAACACGAAAAAGATGAAGTCAGAAACATGCCTCCACTCATAAGTAATCTGCTTGTCACCATTTGTCAGAAGTATGTTTGTGCCATTGGTCAAAGTGTTGGCTTACCTTGGATTACCTAATAAATGGCAATGTCCGGGCTGCTTCTTCATGCACTAGAAACACAACCTTGTGTCCATGCATCATTATCAGCATGCAATACCTAACACCAAATAATGGTTCTCTGAAACAACCACCATGACATTGGGTAGTCTACCCAATCTGTTTGCTAGATTCAATTCATGCTCCTCTAGTTCAAACCAACCAGAAAAGCTGCAGCCATAGCTTATCGTCTTTTTTCCTTCACATGTTGTGGCATCACTCAGAATTGTACTTGCACTTGATAATTCTGTGTTACAAAAGGTTATGTATATATTTCAGTGACCAGTTAAACCTCTTGAAATTAGCTCATTCAATTGTGCTCTTTCTGTCTTTAGGAGCCCAACTCTTGCTGCATCAGTGATACAACCATGGAACCTGGGCTGATGCCTAAAGCTTTTCCTATATCTTGAGAACCTGGAAGTTGTCTATGGGCAAAATTTGCTGCTGCACTTGTTACTGTACTTAGTTTTTCCTCTGTTCTAGTACACTAATTTAACCTGACCACTTTAAACTGTGCCACCATAAGAAGTTTCACTGTTAGAGACGAGATGTCCCTGAGACTTGTGTGGTGGCACATGTTTTCAAGAGACATGCTCTGGAATATCTCTTTAAGGTTTTGATCTTAGCCTCATTGGATCATTCATTTCTTCATAAGGTCAAATCTGTTGTGTAACTCGTTGACAATCATGTCCCAGTCATCCAAATATTCTAGGGTATTTAGCACCAGGCTGTATGATCATTGCTTCAGATGTTGAATCAATCAGTCCATCCATTCCCAGCAGTAACTTGCTTGAAATGCTTGAGGAGATGGTCCAAATCCTTCTTCACTATCCCCCTTACACATTGGAGAGTTCACCATAACTAAGTTATGGGGCAGACAGTTACTTATTACCAGCTTCTGTATTCTCTTATGGCTAAAATCTGTCAGCATTTTGGAGAGACCCTCATCCTACTCCTCCAAAATGCTGTTTCATTAGAATCAGCTTCTTCACAACTGGCTCTAAATGGTGAAAGATAAATTTAGATGTGGGACATTATGGAATTAGCACCAATATCTGCTCATAAAGTTTTTTAATGTTTTTATTTCTTTCATGTGTGAAGCTTGTGAATAGAGATTAAAGTTTATAGACAGTGTATCCCTACTGTTAATATATTCTATTAACATAGATAGCTCTTTTTATATTAAGGTACATACTACCCTTCCTACAGTATAGTTTGTGCTTTACTTTTATTTGTACATTTCTTATATGGAGCACTTAGTTTTCAATCTTGCTGTGTGAATAGTTGTGTGTACCTATTATGGCTGTTTTAGTAAATTACAAATTATAGTATGTTTTAAGCTTATCTGGAGCATCCAAGAGATTCAGCAATAAGTCTGCAGGCTTAGGACACTAAAAATAAGGTTTCAATATTCCTGGTGGGCAGAGCACAGATAACCCATATTGTAGTTTAGTGCTTAACAACAACTAGACCAAACAAAACTTGTTTGGTTTTATGAAAATTGTAAATGAGATTTCCTGTATATGGTTTTACTATTTTGTTTCAAATATAACAAAAAGTTTGAAATTAATATTAAGGAACTAAAGATATTTTTTATATCTAAATATGAAATATACCTATAAAATTAACATAGAATTTACTTTTTAACTGGGATTGCGTGTCCTTTGTCACTCTTTGTTTGATTATAATTTTTATTATCAGAAGATGCAGAATTGATCTGCAGCAGTATTATTATAGTATATATGTATTTAATAAAACACTATGTACTTTTTCATATATATATTACGAATTTTATTTCACATTTAGTTTTTTTTTCTGTCTGCCAGGGGCTGTAACAAATGCCTTTTTTTCCCAAACTCCATATGCATTGTTTCAAGAGGACACTGTAAGAAAGCTGACTCCTCTTCAAACTTTCAAGAAACACCTGTTTTCAGAAGAAGATCTTGTTAATGAAGAAGAGAATGGAAAAAATGGAGTGCACATTAATCTTCATCATCATCCTGTTCTGCAGGTTTGTGAAAATTATAGGGAATGATAGAATGTATTCAGATTAACTGCTATAGATGATTGAATTAATGTGAGGTACATTTCCCCATTCACAATATTATGCCACTGGTAGTGTATGTGGGATTACAAGTTAGTTGGACAGGTTTAATAGTGTATTCTAAAATGCAGTTTCCTCTGTGTAAAAATTTGGCATGTTGTTGGTCAGAATGCCAAAATGTAACTTAATAATTAAGTCTGGGTATTCAGGCACACTGGTTTCTTACAGACAGTTATAATAATCTGCTATACAATGTTGCAGAAAGTTTATGCAGAGAATAAAAAAGAATCTAAAAATATTTTATAATAATTATTATTTTTTTATCCAGGAACTGTGTATAAGTACTAGTAACCTCTTAACTGGGAGGTGGGTATCTTTTATGAAGGAATGGTTTTCTTTTGTACAGTTTTGTAAGTTATTAGGGACAAAATACACTAGTGGAGGACCACGAAAGAAGTTTATTTGAAGAATGTTGTCTAATTTGCTCAAAATCCATTTTTCTTTTTTAAGGTTTGGCATAGCCTGATGGTTAGGGCACTCAACTTGCAATCTGTGGGTTATGGGTTAGAATTCCATCATAAGCCATGGGGAAAATAATTTGACCGTCAGTCCCACTTTTTCTTGTTTAAGAATAGCCCAAGAGTTAGTAACTGGTGGTGCTGACTAGCAGCTTTCCCTCTACCTCTCTAGTCTATCACTCCTAAATTAGGGACAGCTAGCAAATGTAGCCCTGAGTATTTTGGGGCAAGATTTAACAAATTTTGTTTTTAATTTCTTGAGAAGAAATTGAATTGAAAAACATGATACTGCAATTTATGGTCATTTATTGAAGTATTACTTCAAGATATGTTTATCATGAAGCTTTTCATTTGTAACTATGATTTTTTCCTGTTGGAATTTCTTATTTAATTGACTCTCAACACAATAATTCCAACATGAAGAGACAAAAAATAATTATTTAGTTATTGATTTTGAAGAAATTTGTAATATCTGATAGATGTCTGTAAAAGGCTTAATCTCACACAGATGCATCACTAGATGCAAGTAAAAATACTACATCAGAGTAAGATTTTTTCAGGGAAGATGAAAATGCTAAAATCATAAAGAACAATTGAAATACAAATTTCAAAAGATTTTGATACTGATATCATCCATGTCAACTTTGTCAGTTTTCATGTTTTTTAGAATGGACTCACAATCATCCCTACTTATATGAGATTGCAGAAGTCATATAAAAACTTGTTGTTGTTGATCTAAATCTTTATGTATGTAAAGTTTTCCTGTTTTGCAACCAATAAAAAAAAATTCTACTTCATAAATGGCAAAATATTCAGTGAATTTGTTTTTTCTTTTTGAAATTTTGAAAACATCTTATCATAAAAATCAGTAAATATTTAAGATCTTTTTTATTCATTAAGAATTCCTCTTAGTTAGATGTAGCAACATATCACACATCTTTTGTACCTTATGTTATAATACCAAATACAACCAGAAATACTAAAATGTGTGTATGATTACATCTTTTAAATGAGTTGATTGAAAACTAAAAATTCTATTTAATTAGACTAATAAGCCTAAGGACCTTTTCAAGACATGTTAGTGTGTGAAAGTGGTAAAACATGTTTAAAAGTAAAAGCTAGAAGAAAGTACAGTTGTTTGCATTATTCATTGGTGTTACTTCAACCCTTTTGGCACAGGTGCTTGACATTTTTCGAGGTCTGTCTGGGAATTTCATTTGTGCAACAATACATAATGTAACTCTGAAATATTTTAACATATCCTCACAAAAACTGATAAGATTTTGTTACAAATTATAAGTATCTTGTATATACAAAGAATGACATTATTTTAATTTAGTGTTTCTACTAAAAATATGTTATTTATCTATTGTGGTTATTTGCACTCAAATTCTTAATAGTAAAAGTGCAAGGTGATTTTCATTTTAATTATAAAAATACTTTTCTTCATCTTTGATTTTTCATATTTCATTTGCATAATGTGCATATGTGAAAGATATGATAAATTTTTACTTGTATATTTTCCTTATTTAAACTAGTACAAGCCCTCTGTGACAAAATATTATACCATCTAGGAGCCAGTCCAAAAACTCAAGAGCCAGGTGTGCCTAACCCAACTTCACTAATGTTAGTACCGGGAAATGGAGCTACACTAGCACCTCAATTATTCGTGCCTCCATTATCCACGATCCTTGATTATCTGTAGTTTTTTTTTCCCCAAAAATTTTCTCATAATAATTGTGCCATTAGTCTATTAGAATTCTAGACAGTAATTTACATTTTTGGAGAAATGATTGCTCAGAAATTAATTTTGTTGGAAAAATTCAGGTGTTGCAAGATATCTGGGGTTTTCACATGCAGGACCTGGTGTGCGTTCAAATCATAAGTAGGCCGGTTTAAGCCTAGCCTTACCTCTTTTATTTTTAGCTGTCAGGAACACAAAATATTTTTAGCTTGGTTAACTTTATGTGATTAGTGATTAAAAACATAGTATACACAAATTACACATTAAGATTTCTTAAAGATTTCATTTAACTTCAGTTGTCTGCTGTTCTATGCTGCACAGCAGGTGTCTTTTAACCACAGATGCATGTTCAGGTTGTGTTGAGGTGTTGCCCAGTTACACATTGTTCTATTCCCTATAGGTAATTGGCATCTTCAATCTGTTTTAACAAAAGCTTTTTTGTAATAATTTCCAAGCATAGATATGCGCCAATTTTTTACTTATATATCACAGGCACTGATAGGGTGTAAATGTACTTTCGTGTCTATAACAGAAAAAGTGCCAAAATTTAGGAGCTACTTACGCCTATGTTAGCGATTAAATTCATCCAAAATGGGAACGGGCAATCAAAAGAGAAGTCTTATAGGAGAAAAAGTGGAATTGGACCCGTGTAACTCATTTTTCATGATAATGTGATTAGATGACAGTAAAAAGTTTATAATTAAAACAAGGAACTTAAATATATTAAACATTTTTTATTTAGATTAAACAATGGGCTAACTAGTGAGATATACTCGTGCCTCAATTATCTGCTGTTTCTGTTATCCATGATTTTTTAGCTTTCCCCAGACCATCGAATATAATCGAGGCAACAGTGTATATTTATTTACTTTCACAGCAACCAGTGCATGTTAACAATCACATGATATTAACAACCACTTGATAGTATTTCCTGAACAAAATGTCTTTGGTCCTGTCTGAGTCTAAACATGCGCACTGATTGGCTGAATTAAGAGAAAGAAGAAAAAACAAAATGGCATGAAATTAGTAATATGTTGTGCAACTGCAGTACTTCATTCCTGAAAAAACACGAAGAAGTGCTGAATCTGCCATTAAAATCATAGAAACAAAGTTTGATTTAGGACTCAAAGAATGCAAAAAATAAATAGTTCTGGACTTCCAAGAGTTCAGATCTGTTCTAGATTTGATTTCTATTTAGCACAGCCTTATGCATGAATAAAATGGGAGAAAATACTAGGTGCCACGATGAAATTTCTGGTCTCTATGATGACCTGGCACCTGGGATTTGTTGAAGTCTGTGTAGTAAAAAGAGACTGACGGAATATTTGCAACCATGGGTTGGCCTGTACTAGTCCCAGGTTGAATATTAATAAAGCTATATGTGGTTATATAGAAATTGAGAAGGTCATACAACAACCATATAACTTTTCTGAATTATTATAATTAATACAGGACACTTGGATACAAGATTTTAAAATCAGATATTTATAAACATATGGTAGCTTAAAAAAAGGTTTACTCCTATGTTTAAATTTAATAAATAAAATACTAATGCATTATAAAACTTGTTTGATTTTCTTTGTATTTTTTATAATAATGTATTATACTAATATACAAATGTTAAGTTGACCATTGAATTGCAGTTATTCATTGTTTGTGACTTCTCTATGTATATCACCTGTGCATTTCAATAATTATTGTTGAAAGTGTATATTGCTGTGTTTGTGAATATTTGGATTTTTGATGATTTGCCCACTTTCCAGGTGAAAGAATTAAGTCAAGAAGATAAAGTTTCTCTCAAAAGTCTGGAAAATGTAAGTTTCTATTGCATTCAATATTTGTGAAAATCTATAAAAAACTTGCAAATATTTTTAAAACATTAACACTATCGCTATGGCCAACTTTTCCTGTGTGTATCACAAGGTTTAGCAAGTTACAATCAAAAGTTAATTAAAGTACTTTATTATCATGGTATATGAATAAAGTTGGCATCAAAATGTAGCTAATAATCCAAGTCTTAATATTATATCAGTTTTAAATTCTTAATTTTATAATGCAATTTTTAAAAAAATACCCAATTTCCCCTGATATGAGAATTGTGACATTTGCTCTCTAGGTATCCCCTCTTCTCTAATTTATTTACCACCCCTACAAGAAGTATGAAATTTAATGTAAATTATAATGTTGTCATCACTCAGGCAAAGTACAATTTTTATAGCCTTCAATCTTGTTTGGTTACAGAGCCATAAGCTAGAAAATCAGACCTCTCCTGTCATGCCCACCTGTCACAGAATCCTCTTTTTCACAAATTGCCAATAGTTCTTTCTGATGATTAATACTATATTATTTATAATCAACAGAAAGCCAAGATTTTAATCTATCAAATGACATATTATATTACATTGTTTTCTTTACGCAAAATTGTTTATTTTGCTTCCACTTCAAACTTTATTCTCATGGGAAATACATTGACAAGTCTAGCTGAATTTTTAAAGGCTCTTATCAAATAGCTAGAAAGCCAAAAAGATTGGGATAGTTATGGGACGCTATCTGCTCTTTTTCTTGTCATTATTCTGTGTTCTTTGATGCAGTATTTAATTAAATAAAAAATTATTTAGTGCAGTAGTACCATTAGTATAAAATGTAGGGTTCAGTTGACAGCAAAAGAAAAAGAAGACCCAGGTAAGTATTTATTTCTTGTTTCTCGTGTTTATTCTTTATTTATTATTATAAAAGTAAAATGTAAAAATTAGAATCTTTTTAGAGTAGATTGGGTAAAATAAATAACAGTTAAAAAAATGTTCACGATGTATACTCGCAAGTAGCCTGTGTGTTATTTAATTTGATAGGGTAACGTGAGCTACACATATTCGTTCGCCAAGTAATTTACAGCGTATGGTGAGAATATTAGCTAGACATTAATTCAAAGAGCAATTAAACAATAAAATTTAAGTAGAAACAGATGTGTACTGTTTTGAGCTTAAAGCTATTGAGGATGAACAAATGTAGTTTCATGTTACAATTTGAAGGCATTGTAGAAAGAAAAAAGGGTAATTTAGATTTATTTGGTTATGAGGTTGGTCAAACTGACCAACCTTTTATAGAGAAAATAATGCAGACAATGTAAAGTTTTACTGAAAAAGATCAAAATGTAACTAGTAGTAGCACTCTTTCTCTTGTAATATTTTGTTATAGTTGAAGGTCTGTATTTATCTTATCTTCTAATCAAACTATATCTTTATGTTTATTAGGTATATTTAATTAATCAACATTTTATGTTAAAAAGACTATGCTGTTTAGAATTGTGACTGTTAAATAAAGTTTTGTTTTGCTTAAATCATCTGAAGTTCTTCTAGTTGACCACAATAGGGTGCCTTTGCAATCCAAGCTCATTGTATGTAGCTATATGAGTATCTCATATAGCATCAAATACGTTTACCTAAACAATATCTTTTTTAATATAAATCGTGATTACTGTTCTGTATAACATTTTTAAACTACTTGTTAATGTTTTATTTCGTTTATATGGATCACCTGTAAAATAAAAATATTTTCATTCAAATATAAACTAGTAGTTAGATTAATGTCCAATTAGTGGGCCACTGTATCTAACCCTTGATATTAATTTAATAATAATACAAAATACCTGTAATTTTATTAACCTTCAATCTTCTTTGTTTATGGAAATATGAACTAGAAAGTCAGATCCACTTTCCATAACCTACTATTACATCCTTTTTTCTTTTTTTTTCACAAATTGCCAATAGTTCTCACTGAAGGTTTTCAAAACATCATTTATCAACATGTTTCTTGCTTTACTATGCAACACCTGATCATAGATTTAAGAAGGACCTTCCATACACAGTACATTCTATATACCTAGTGTTTGGATGAAACCATTTTCTAGGATTCTAATACATTATCAACTTCACCACATCTGTGTGTTTACATAGATGCAATATAAATTTGTTAATTCTGGTGCAAATAAACTTGTATTAAAAGTTATAGTATATGTGTTATTATTTTATGTCATTATGCCTTTTATACAAAACCCTTAACATGTTGCCCAAAATAGCTTTTTTTTTTTTAAGTGAATGGTCTTCTGTCATGTAGAATATTCCAAATTAAACTCACTTGTCAGATGGTCAGGTAAACATAGTGAATTTTAGTCATCCAACATGATTTGAAATAGAAAATGTTTTACTTAATATCATCACATTTTCAGATTATACAAAACATTTCTTTTATGTATATATCTCCCTTGTTCAAAATGGGTAATTTTCAGTCAGATTCCTACAGCTGTAATGAAGCTCTGTATCTATGCTATTCTTTTTTATTTTTCCAGTTGTTAGATAAATAGATTATGCCCATTAAAATTAATTCTTAATTTGAGAACATAGTAATATGTGTCATTTCCTTTCCTATTTAATTGTTTTGCCATTTTTCAGGATTATCATTTGAACAAACAGAAATCTAAGAATTTTTTGAAAATAGATGAAAGCTTCAGCATTTTCATCAACAGTGTACAAAAATTATAATACTGAAAACTTGCATTATAGACAGTGTTGTTGATCATTTTTAAACAAATATTTCGGACCTTTTAACTCTCTCACTATGGACTTGATCCCAGGGACCGACCTCATAACCATTTTGTGCTTGTTACAGTTCTCAAAGTATAACTTTTAATACAGGAAGCGTATCTTCACGAAATTTTGCAGATCATCAGTAAACATTACAAGGCTTAGTACACAAAAATATTAGATTTTTTTTTATTGAGTGTTAAGATTTTTTAAGCACTGATTTGCTCATGCATTTTTTTTTCTTTTGAATGTTGACAATCCAACATACAAAGTAATTTTGATTTTAAGATTAAAAATACTTTTGTGCATCAGAAAATTGTCAAATTTTACATGCGAAATCTTTATAACATCCAATTAATTATTAAACACTTTTTTCAGAAAAAACTTCTGTTATTTTCACTGTTGTATCTCTGTATGGGTTTGGTCGATCTGCCTGACATTGTAATCAACATAAAACATAAGGAAATAAACATAAATTATGCCTTTTTTTTTTCTAGAATGACTACAGATTATAACAAGAAACCACAAATGTTTGGTCTAAATAGCTTAAATCTCATAACATTATACATCTTATATATATATATATATATTTATTTATTTATTTATCTATTATTTTTACCATATTGACCTTCCAGCCGTGCCTGGCTAGCAATACAGAAGTTACAATGACGAGGTGCATGTGCACTCATGTTAGGGTATCAAATAATGTATAA